TTATTATATTTTAGCTGAGCCAAATCTCAGCTTCCTTCATATAAAAATTTTTGGAACGTAAATTAAACCGTTTTATAATTAAATACATTACAAACTTCTAGATTCATTCATTTTATCGTCTCGCTAAATTTTTTTTTTAGGTTACCCCAAAAAAAATTTTATTATAAATCACTCCGAACCAGCAATTAAATTTACTATCTGTAAAAATCAAATGCATTATTTTTTAATATTGTATTTTCGGCATTAAAATTACTCTTAAAATTCGAGTCGAATCCGGATCAAACAATTATTGGGTCGAGTTGAATTCGGGTTCTGTAATTATTAACAGGTTCGAGTTCGAATATTCCTCAAACCTGGCCCGACCCGATCTTACGGAGCACTATTCGTAACATACTGTAAGAATGTTGGAAACAAACTAAACCAAACATTAAAATTTTTGGTTGGTTCAATAATTGTTAATGTACGTAGTGCCGCAGTAATTATGAATTTTATTTTTTAAACTTAATATAAATAAGAAATTCATTTTATATAAGATATTAATATAAATTCGCCTTCAAAATAAATAACACATATAAAATAACAGAGTTTTAATCGTGAAATAAATTTTTTGAATATCTAAAAAAAGAAAATTTAAGAACTTTCTCATGTCAAATTTAATTTTTTCCAAAATAAAAAAAGAAAACCTTTTTATTTAGAACGCATTGCGGTTATTAAAAGTTATTCTGTAGGATATTTTTGACTTATTTTGATCGAGTGGAAAAAAAATTTTTTTTTTTTAAATTGACGGCAATTGCTAAACTAGTAATAATAAACACATTACCTTTTTTATCCCAGATCTAACCATATTTAGGTTAGGATAATATTTCCGGAAATAAAAGTTTATGTATTTAAAATAGTTTCTTCATGTATAAAAGATTGTTGCGAAGCATAATACATGTGCAATATGCATATATTATGTCACAATAACCTTATTTTGCAACTAATCTATTTCAATTTTGAATTTGGAAAATAATAAACATTTCGCAAATTAGGTTAAGCAAAATGATAGAGCCAAAAAAAAAATATTAAAATTTTAATTATTTGCTAAAAAAAATCCTGACACTCCTGATCTTGAAATATAATATCTTGGCAGCTATTCTTCTATACCCTTTCGTCCTCATCTGTCACTTCTTCTATTCCCATTCCTACAGCTGTAACGTCAGTTCAAACTCCTCCCTCGCCTCCCATTTTTTTATTTTATTTTTTTTTTTTTGCAAACTTCAGTTCCCACTCACCTAATAGGTTGCCAGAGCCGAAGGAGAATATCCATGTTTCCGTCGACTATTTACACCAATCTATTTCGACTTATGACTAGCCACCGTTTATTCGTTGTCGTTTTGGTAGTTATTTCATTTAAAAGGATTTGGCAATTCCCTGTGTCACTTTTTTTTTATTTCCTCATCCATTGCTTTTTTTATTTTAATAATCAAAATGAAAACTAATGAAATGAATAAAGTCATTCTTATTGTTACTACAGAGGTCGCGCTGCACGCAACAAAGTAAACAATCCAAGAAAATATTACCGTTACTGTAAATGCGGTGCTTTAATAATAAAGTTAATAAATACATTGACCTTTAATACTGTATAAATTTCAAAAAAAGCTTTGCGTTACAATAAATAAATAATAAATTTAATATTTAAATTATTATTCTTCAACTTGTGATATTTACTTTTCATACCTTCAAAATCTACCAGAAAACAGCTTTCCATTCACTCAAATCATTCGCATTGACTAATCTCCTCGTTTCTGCTAAAATATTCAATTGATATCAAAAAGGATAATATACTATATAAATCAATGAAATACTTTGAAAATTCAACGTTAATCTTTTTTTTTTTTTAAGGGGGTCATGTAGTATCACATCAAATTTTCCAATTCATCATGTCGGAATTAATTCCGAAAATGAAATTATCATTATCATTAAGATAGATATAATTCAATCATTTTTTTTTATATAGTAACAAAGGTTAAAATATTGAGTAAAATGAGATAACAATAAGTTGACGAAATAATTAATTTTCAATTATAGAAAAATATTTTCATTTCTTTTACAATTATTTTTTTTTTTTTTTTTTTTTTTTTGCGAAAAATAATGGTATAAATAGGAAACAAAGACAAAATAAATTAGACAAAATAACTCCGACATTCCGCAGTAAATGCGCCTTCCGCGATACTTATTTGGATAATTCGTAAATCATCAAACTTTGACAAATGTAATACAGAAATGAAAATTAGGAGGATTTCCCAGTTATAATCCAAATAAGTTGAATAAGTTTCAAAAAAGGTATTTATTTTTAGATATTTACTAACAAAAATTCAAACAAAGGGAATATTAAAATAAATAAATACATTATTGTTTTTATTTTGATTTACAAAAATATAACTTTTGAAACAAAAAAAAAATTACGAATTAGGATTAAAACCATTAAATTTATTTACTGCGCAATTATCCCCATTATTATAATTAAAAAAGTATCTATATTAATCTATGTGATAAATTATATTTAAAATTTTACAAATCTTTTACGTTTAGGTTTTGCGTTACAAGTACCCCCATAAGAAAATTTCGGATCGCAACCTTTGTCACAAAAACCAGGACCAATGCCACAATACCCATCAATACCACAACATGGAGATAGGGGATCGGTGCATTTATGACCGCCCATATTTGGACATCCGTTATTGCCTTGTGCAAGTACTCCAACACCTTTGATAGTGACTTTTTGGATGACAAAGGAAATTCATGTCAGAAAGAACGTTTGATCTGATAAAGAATTTCAAAATACGAAAAATGGAATTTAAAATTGAAACTTACAGTATGAAGAGTAACCAACATTTGCGGTTGATTTTCCAATGGTTAACGCATAATCGATCGCAGACTTTATTGTCGTTGGAATGGAAAATTGGCAAATTAGAGCTAAATTAGATTCAAAAAAGAAAAAGAATTAATAACCATAATCTATTAGATTCACTCTCGTCCATTAGTAAACTTTCTGTTTTTAATCACATACCGGTAGGGTCAATGTCTTTGCAAATTGTCATTAGTGGCATTAAATTGTCTGGTGGACCCTGGGTTAAAATTACATCAATCGCCGGTTCTGTTGGAGTATCCTTAGTCAAGGTCCAAGTAATATTATAAATATATCCGGCTTCTAACACACTACCCGTTGCTGGGAATACAATCGAATATCCAGCCTTAGAAGGTAAAGCGTATAATACGGTTAAAAGTAATAAACTTAAAATTAATTTTGCCATATTCTTTCTTATTAAGTGAATCGTCAAAATTGTTTGTCAAGGAAAAAAAAAATAAAGTGAAAAAAAAAAAATTGTAAAAAAATTTTTTGATATTTTGATTTTTTTTATTTATTTTTTTTTTAACATGGAATATAACGCGGGCTTTATATATTTATCTTTTTACCTCGCTTTGGATAAAAATAATATTTTTAGATTCGTGTATATATAAATATAAAGATTATGCATTAACTCCCCGAAAAAAAAAATGATCATCAAATTACATAAAAAAATTCGTTATTTTTCGGCTAATTACGGTATAAATTTTAATTGAAATAAATATGAAACGTGCATGACGTGTAACAGTACAATCCCTGTCACACCGCATGTTTCCGCCTCCCTAAGATACATTAAAACAAACTTTGTGTTACCTATAAATTTGATTTTTATAATCAAAATTTGTATGTTTCGTGTCACTTGTAAACAATGTGTAATATGTAAGTAATCATTTCTATGAAATCTGTGTAATATTTTTATACTTCGTACCTTTATAAAATCACCCCCTATATAGGCACGACCGCTATGTGATTTGCTTTTTCAAGAAAGTGTGATAGATATCAGTGCAATGTTTCAATGGAATCAGAGATTTGCAAAATAATCACTGCAAGCGTTAAAAAAAAATTCTGCGTTTCTATTCAAACAATGATATCCTCTCCTCATATGGTAAGTTTCTAATAATGTTTTATGGCGCAACATGTATTTTTAATTTTTTGACTTCTTTTTATATATATAAATATCTTTTGAATTTTTTTCGAATTCATGACAGGTTTTGCAGCTGTTAATAGTTACCTCGGTGAATAATAACGTCACGCAAATACGCTTTTAACGATTTTGTTTTAAGGGCGAATTATCTTTCAATGTTAATAAAACTAGTAAAAATTCGATATCAGAAAGCATGACGATTAATGTTTATGAATTACTTTGAGTACACCAATCCCTTCTGACGATAATTCGGCTTATCTCAACGATTTCTATTATATCGGATGTAAGCAGTATATCTAGAGCTCTATAGTTTATTAAAAATAAATTATTTAATCGGAACTTTATATTTCTGTTACATTAGATGATTAGAAAGTAAATTAACAACGGACTAATGTACATCCATTCACAGCTTTAACTAGCAATTTATGATATTTATGACTGGTAATTAATTTATTTAATTAAAAATTTCTTAGCAATATTAGTGCAATTGATATTCAAATAAATTTTCTATATTCGATTTTGGTAATTTTTAACATACTATCTATCATAAAGGAAGATAATGTTGTGGGTAAAAAAAAAAATTTAGTGTGATTTTATTAGTGTGAACCGGATTTCTGGACCTTTGAGCGACAAAAAAAATTACCATACACTAACACTAACACTAACAAATGATGAAAATTTCTGAAAATTCTTTCATTAAACAGAATATCACGAATGAATTAATGTTCAACATTTTGAAAATGATTTATATAATTACAATACCATGTTGTGGTCAATTTTTATTACAAATTTTTTATAAATCAAGCTTTACAATAAACCTGGCTCTACTGCATGCTATATGAGCATAGTATACTGGAGGAACTTTAGAAATGACACGAGTCGACCGTGCAAATGTATAACACAAGTTGTAGGGGAACATTTTACATTCATTGGGAAAAAGCGAGTGTGATGACCGTCTTTGAACAACTACGTAAGTTTATAATTCGCTTCAAGTGATCCACATGCGGCTAATCATTGTTGAAAAGGTGTGTTTGAGCATTTGTTGCTATAAATAATTTTTTTAAATATATTTACCATTAATTTCCGATATTTCTAATTCTAGTACAGTTTTGAATTGATTATTCGAAATACCTTCTTGATATAAAGAAATACTTTCTGGTTTTCTTCCACAAGTTTGGTAATAGATTTTTAATAATTCCTTGACCACGTAGGTCCGATACGACCACCTGAAAACCTGTCTAAACGCGAATAGGAGTGGCATAACGAGATCATCTATGGAAGCACTTAGACCAGCACTAGATGGACGAGTACTATCACTACCAGGAACATATGTATACACCCATTATTATAGTTGAACGTTGCGAAATAAACGGCACTAGGCTTGGTTCGATGAATGAATTCATACCACCAAGTGTTACATTAATTTTCAAACAAACATTAGCACAATACTGTTTCTTTGCTTGAAATATATGCCTGATTGATTGAAAAATAATTCCAAAACTAAGCAGGTTTAAATTCTAATAACTCGCACGTATAAAATTGAAAATTTTTTTATAAAACTTTTTATAATGTTTCGCGATTATTACATATAAAAAATAAAAATAAAAAAAAACATAAACTCAGTTCTCCATTGTATTAGAATTATGCCGATTAAATCTATAATTTTTTTTTATTCAATATTCCAAAATTCAAGTTTCTTCTCTTAATAAAGTATCTCTCTCATTAGAATGTGGAAACTTTTCATTCGATTCAGCCGTCACTGAGTCGCGACTCTAACAAAAATTTTAAAATTTTGTTTAACAATTTAATTAATGTTGAAAGATTACTTATATAATTTAAGTTTTCGACAGAATTTAAACTGCTAGTATCCCATTCGGAAACAAATTTGTAACATTTTAATTAATTGAGAATTTCGCGAAGTTCTGTTATTAGATTAAATTTGGAACAGCGACTCTTTCATGGTTCAGTCATTTGAAAATTCCGGAGCCGAATTTGCAGAGTCGACGTAACGACTCCAACAACTGGTGGCACCACGAATTACCTCAATTATCACCGTCAAAATATTCATACACCTGATTAACCCTTTCACATTTAAGGTCTATAGTTCAAAAATTTTAATATAATATAAAGAAGTCTTCCAAAATATTTTAAGATGGCAAAGTAAATCCCATTGGTTTTAGAGAAGGAGTTATCTAATGCGGTATTTGATACTTGTTATCACAGAAAGAAATTATTTATTACATTGAGGATAAAAAAGAACAAAAAAGATTTGATTTTTGATCAATTTATGAGTATTATGGTTAATTTTGCTATTGCTATTATATATGTATTCGAACTTTCAGTTTTAAGATTTCGGCAATTTACATAATCTTTTCATCCTTAGTTAGATTTAAGATGATGTCGGGAGGATAGATTTAATCCGCTATTAAAAATTTGCCAAAAAAAATCATGTGCGCATTATAAATTGTCACTTGCCATTAGCATAGCATTACAGTACATAATGTTTTTTTAATTATTCTACAAAGAAGTATATATCGTAAATTACATAAAGCATGCATACCACAAGATATTTATATAGTACATAATATAGTATTATTTTTCATAAATTCAAACCTAACTATAAACTTCCTGTAACTCTGTATTTAATCCATTATCAATATATTTAACCCTCTTTGCTGAAGAAGAGAATTCTGTATAGAGGTTGGAACCAGCCAATAATTCTTTAACCGGTTAATTGACGAGGTTAAAATTAACTTTGGCCAGTACTATAAATTTGGTCAGAGTTAGACAATATTTTGACAATCATAAAAATCTTAATTCTGTCCGGAAATTGAATTTCGGCCGGAGTTAAATTCATCTATTTTAACCGGTTAAAAAAAATCTTTAACCGGTTAATTAACCGGTTAAAAATTAACCAGTTCCAACCTATAATTCTGTTTCACTCAGACGTGACTTGACAGCTTTCCTAGGCAGACGGGTAGAGATGCTCCATTTCGTATGACTGTTGTCCTGTTAAGCAGCATATTATCCATCTTGATACATTTGTTCTCAGGTACGCCACTATCTTCAGAACACTTGCAACATCGGCTTCTTGATCTCCAGTATAAGTTTGAAAGTAACACCATTATCCTTATAAGCATAAATCAAGCACTTTTTTTTCATCATAGACTGCCTTCATCGAACTCAAACGGATGGTTGTCCCATTAACCAAGCCGATATGCAAACGAGTCGCATTCACCTCATCCTCTGATAGATAGTATGCAACTGTAAGCATTCTATTGTATTCAAAAGCTGTTTCTGCTACCACAACTACTGCATCCTTGTGTACTGCAAACCCATCATTCTCAAATTCGGTTATAAAAAACGGAAATTGTTGATTAGCACCATTAAAGATAATAGCGGCAGAATCAGATCTAAATGATCCACATCCACCATTTCCTGGAATTTTAAGATGGTATTCCCAATTCACACCAATCTCTTCTGAACCAATAAGAAATGTATCAGAAAATATTTTTGCCCACATTTGTGTTTTTATGTGATTTTCTGACGATTTACTTCCTGGGCCTCGGCAGGGAGTCGATGAGTAGAGAAGAACAGAACGTTGCAGTGATGTAAAGACCAGACACTCTTCTTCCTCAACACCAGCAGTGAGAGGTGTAGCACACGGTGCATGTCTTGGTGTACATAAGACTGAACGCTCTTCTTCCTCATACCAGCAGTACAGGGCGTAGCACACGTAAATTTTCAAAAAATACTGACTAGGTCATGTTGCATGCTAATGCTTTCCATCTTGCTCTAGTTCCAGATTTTAGTTTCCGGATCAAAATTTGTAAATCAGCACTCAAAGCATTATGTGAAATTTTTTTGTTGCATCTCGTACATTTTCGTGAAAGTAGCTATCCCACGTATCCTTATTTCCCATTAAGTATAAGATTTCTCCCAATAACCTAACATATGAATACATGTTAGATTATTTAACGTTGATATAGTGAAGAACAATAAATAATACTTACCACGATATCTAACTTCTTTTAAAACTACTTTGGGTATTCCACCTGTTGGCATATTTGCATATTGTGGAGAAAGAGACGCGTTGTAAAGTTAAACGTGTCATTAAATTTTATAAATAATTAACCCATTGATAAAATGAAGATCGGTTTCAACCGGATTTGTAAAATACCGATTTGAAAAGGGTCAAACGGTTGCTCCCGTTTTAAATCCGGTTTCAAAAATGCAACCGGTTCCAACTCTACTTAGTCCAGTTCCATTCTTTGTTCTTCCTAGAATAATTTGTGCAACCATAAGATCTACGATGCTTTGTATGACCGCAAAAGTAACACAATTTAACATCAATATAACAATCTTTTTTTAAATGTATGATTGAACGTCAAACACCAAAAGGTATGTAATAAATGATTTATTACCAAATTGATTATCGAACGTCAGAAAAACTTTCTTCCTTAATATATTTCTCAATATCGTTTCATGTATTAGATTCTTGACAAACAAAGATACTAATATTGAGTCTCGAAGGTATAAAACTGTTTTCATCAAATGAAGTTCTGTAAGGAATTTTATACAACCAACATCAAAGGTAAAACTTATTTATTATAAAATTACTGCCCGTGAATGGTAAGTGACTCACTTACCTTTTTTAATAGGTATCATTTGTTTTCATCATGTTAAATAGTAATATCGTGCTTACTTCCTTTCCTGCTTCTCTTTTTTATATCACATTCACGTCATCTTTTGCAGCTGGTTAGAGATGATCCAGTAGTAAACGTTGAGTGTTTCTTGTTGTTAAGTTAATTTTCTTACAAGACGCAAAATGGCATTCTTGTTCAAAAAACTCAAGGTGGAAATCGTATGACTAAAACAACCAATAATCTGAATACGAGTACGCTTCATTATATGTTTTACAAGAAAGGAGACCAATTACCGGACGGTTTCCCAAGGAATGGAACAAAAAAAATTAATTTAGTCGTAATTGAAATTAAGTATCTCAATTCTCAATCTAGATACGCTTAATTCTTACTAAACTTACCTAAAATTATTATCAAAGGTATAAACGATAAGTGCGAATCACTAAAGCAAGGGAAGCAGTGGACGATTTATGTGAAATAATTACTATATGGATGAATAAAGTCCTAAGGGTAAATAATCGAGGTTACCCTTACAATCAAAAGTATTCTTCGTATGGTCAACTCTTTGGTTGTCTGAACCATGGAAACCTAAATGGTCGATTGACTTCAACCATTAATAATTTTGATGGAATTACAATAAGTGAATTAAGAGCCATGATAGCATATAAAAGTGATAGGAATGTCATAGCACATCAACGAAAATGGTCAACGGCGGAACAAGCACAAAATTACAAAGATGCAACGCAAATTCTTTTGTTAGCGAATAGTTATTTACCTTTACCAATCGATAATGAACTCCATATTGCTTTTACCAAGTGTAACCGATTTATATCGATAATTAATAATCTAATTTTTTTTTTTTTGAGAATTATTATTTTTTTTTAATTTACAAATTCTGGTCAACTTTATATCGGTAATAGATTTAAACCGACACTTACTTGGTCGAGAACTGGGATACAGAACCCTTATCGATAATTTGAAAGAGCAAAACCTCAAGTTCGAGGAAAAGCATTCGATGTTCTTAGTAACCGAGAAATTGTCAATAAGGACTTTCTTGACATGAGTAAGGAAGATTTAATGCAAGCTGGACTGGAAATGGGACCAGCTTTGAGACTTGCAAAAGTGGTCCAGGCCCTCAAAGACAATACGAAGCGCTCGTTCTCCTCGTACAAGAGTTTGAGTGAGGTATTAGCGAAATATGACATCAATAGTTATGTGTTTCACAATTTAAAACTTAAGCCAGGTGAGATTCTGTGTAAAGCTTTGGATGATTTTATTGTTACAGAGATACCGAAATCATCTATTTCTATTATAGAACCCCACCAATTGAGGAAAATTCTCTGGAGTTTAAACTCTGCATTCTTCGCAGGATAAAAAATATGGCCCAGTTGCTGACAGCAACGAGGTTATGCGCTGTAAATATATTTTATCAATCCTTCACACAGCTATCAGTCTTCTTAAAGATTTGCTTATCTTACCTCAGGTGATGGTAACTGGTGCTGAAAGTTCCGGTCGTGTAAATTATGCAATCAAAAAATAATAGATGGTTATTCGAAGAAATAATTTGCATAACTGAAGGGAAGCAAAACCATCCGGGGCAATGGATGGCTCAAAATCTTATGCAATGTAAAAATTGATACGATGTAAATAATGTTAAACATGCTCAAGAAAAAGCGGAAGGCGGACGAGGCATTCGACTATAAGTATGAATATGCGAGAAGATTGTTTCAGGATGTTTTTTATTTTTAAGTCTATGCAATACTAACTTGAAAATTTCTTAATCTTCGTGTAAATAGCAACTTCATCCTTCACAACACTGAAGGCATTTTCTGTACGAGCAAAACCGAATATCGAATCTCACTAACGGAAGATGCTCTCAATGATCAAACTGAACGTGAAGAGGATTTTAGGGGTTATAGCAGGCTTGCTAAAGGATAGAGCATCAGCTAGTGATGAACCTGCGTCTAAGAAGCGTCGCGTGGAAGAGAAGATCAAGAAAAAATAGAGATATACAGGGCGTTAGCATAGAAATTTTCATGTACCACAACAAAATTCCGTTCCTTTGTATTTTTGTCTTTATTATTAATAAACCAGTAATGATTTGTTATAAATTTTAAGTGTTAATCTTGAATTCGGCCCATTTCAAAAAAATACGACTAAATAATATACCAACTTCAACGTAAAATATTGTTATGGTTGCTGAGAGAACCTTTATAAAAATTGGTAATATAATGGCTAATAAAAAACCTAAAATTATACGCAAAACAATAACAAAAATATAATTATAATAAAGGTTACCCCTCCATAACCTAATAAGAATCGCAGCAATTTCGACAGAAAATAAAACTGAATTTAAAACAACTAAAAATAACTTTAATTTTTCCTCATCATATTTATATATTGTTACTTTAAGAACAGTTAAACAAATAAGGACAGCAAGATAGGCTACGAAATAAATAGACTGAATTTCAATTTCCTAAAAGTCGTGAAATGAAGCGACAAATTCGCTAAAAAGGATTTAGTAAAAATTTATAATAAAATTTTTTTTTTTTTTTACTAAACATACCGATTTTTCCATTTCGGTCTTTTTCTTATCGACGAGTGCTTGGATATAAGCAAGTCTACTTTGATTGTCCCCAAGACGATTGAAATTTACTGTTTCTCGTCTGCCCATTTCTTCAACTGCCATTTGTTGTTCGGCATCAAGAACGAGATCAACAGGGAGATTAGGTCTAGGTCTAGGAGGCATTTTGTTGATGACAAAATGAAGTTCAAGTAATAACTATGGTGTAGCTCTGGCAAATTATTTTTTTTTTTTTTTTGAAGTCAAAGAGAGAGAAGTTTTTGTGAAGTTTGATATAAAGTGAGCAGAGGAGAATTTATAGTTGAAAGGTTGAAAATCAAGATTAATATATTAAGGGTGATTAATATACTAAGGGTGATTAATATAAGGGTGATTAATATATTAAGGATGATTTATTTTAATAGTGTTTGTTATAACAAAATATTTCAATATTTTTTTTTTTATTTTTCTGGGAACGTAAATCAATATCACGTTGCAGTAAAATATAGATGAAATGTACATCAATGGTTCAATAGTTCAAATTTCACGACGTAAATATGATTATACTATTTTTAACTAAAATCAAATCAATCAAAGATGCTTGCTTTAGTTGTGCATAATGGCTATTTCATGTTAAGAAAATATAAAATCCCTAAAAACTAAATAAATTTTTCAATTTTTCAAACACGTCATGTTTGCTTTTTCTTTCGAAGATACTGCTGTTGATGAATCACGAGGTATCAGACTCGATATTTGATATTAAAGAAATCTGTCATAATTAAATAATGGTGTGATACCGATGTTGTGACTGAAATTGATTTTCGTCTGAAGTTGGAATTCAGATAATCTTCGAGTGTCTGAAATTGAGATTCCAATTTCAAACACCCTTTTTGTTATCTGAATTCCAACTCCAGACAACTTATAAAAAAACTATTTTAACCAATCACAATATGCCAATTTTTTTTTTTTACAATTTCGTAACTTTAACATTTTATATTTCAGACTTTAGCTTTTAGCTGGATTATAATTTAGCATTAAATATCCAATGTTTTTTTTCTTTTTTTTTTAAGGATTATTTATAATTTCTTTTATTTTTATTTTTTAGGATTTTTGATCACATTCGGGCTGCTACTGCTTAATATAGGATAGGTTTTTTTTTTTCTTTCTTTTTTTTCATTTTTTTTTTACTTTCTATTTTCATTTTATATTTTTTTATTTATTTTTTTAATTTATTTAATTTTTTTATTTCGATTTTATTTTTTATTCAGTTTTTCGGCAAATAAGTTATTTTTTTTTTAATTTTAATTTTATTTCTATTTTATTTTTATACAGGTTTTCGATCGCATCGGATGCTGCGTCAGTTTCGTTTTCATTTATTTTTCAGGTTTTTTTTTTTAAACTTCAGACTGAAGTGATCCAACCTGAAAAAGCTAAAAAAAACATGTCAAAAACATTCATCTTTTTTAATTCTTTTAAACAGCAGAAGGCAAATAGAAAAGGAATTCCTACTTTTACAATTACCTGTATAATTGGGGGCTAAGCTATTAAAATCACCTTACGGGACCCCACCAACTAAAATTGAGATTTTTGATTCATATTATTATATGATAT